TTGGAGACTCTGAAGAAGGCAAATTTTATACCTAAAGTCCAAGGCCCTAGAACTTAAAAACAAACAGCCTACCATAAAAAAAGAAAAAGAGAAAAGCTTCCAAGAGACACAATTTAGGTAGGACAGCTAGAAGGCTGACATCAGAATCAGGGATCACGCTGCGATCCAGTCAGCCCTGGCACTGTTCCACATAAAGTGGGCCATGGAAGCTGAAGAGCCAGTACAGCAGAAAAGCCTCAGAGTTATTTTGCATGGGACTATCCAAATTCTTCACAAAGCTGAGTACTTGAGATCAGAGCTATTTGCTTATCAACTTTCACCAGCACTAAAATTCACATAACTAACCTTAGAAGACAGCATGTTATTCTGAACAACATTGCTGAACAAGCAGTTGAATAAAATCAATTACTTGCTCAAGAGTTTTTTTTGAGACATACTTTTTTTTAATTATTGTCAGATATGCAGGTCAACAAAAAGGAAGATTGATTTCTGGATAAACAGAATAACTGTGATATTAAAATCTTGTGTGGAAAGACAAATTGTGAATTAAAGCATTTTAATGCTCATTTTAGTGAAATGATGGGAATATTTGGGAAGCACTTGCAGTCAAGAAACTGTACACATGCCCATCTGCCCGATGGCATAATGCAACCACCTCTCCAGTCTTCATCTTCTTACCACTTACACCTTGCTGATCAGGATGCACTCCTCCTTGCCTAGCCATATATTTGTACTGATTAATGTAATACTAATATAATGGCTATGCTGTTTGCATCAGCAATGTTAGAACAAATTGATGTTAGCTGGAAAAGTCAAGTCAGCCTTATTTTTTGTGACCCAGTGCTGTCATCTCATCTGCTCACTGATGCATGTTCTGCTCCAAACTGGCCCTCAGCATCCAAAAAGGAAAGTAGAGAATCAGGGAGGTGAAGTATCATGTTTTAGTTGTGTAACAGGCTCATTTTCGTAATGTTGAAGAACTTCCCAGCAGTGCCTAAAGCAATGCAACTAACAGTCATCATTTGTTGTTTCCTCTCCCCATGCTCTGGGAGAAAAATTTGTGCCATTCAGTGCCTCGCTTTGCTAGGGAGTTTCGGTCTGTTTTATCGTAGATTTTCTTTCAGACTTATGTGGGAAGGAGAGAAATAGGTTATGTTTTAGATTTAGGTTTTGGTTTTCTTAGTGCTTCATCAGAGGAGGTGTAAGATTCAAGAAAATGTCACCTTGCCCATGAAAAGAGTGGTTGAGGTCTGCAGCAGTGCTCTGTTCTTGGGAGAAACTGCACACAAGCTCCTTTCCCTCCAAATCCCCTCCCACAAAACACTGGCTAGGAAATCGGCATTTCAGGGTCAGTCTATCTACATCAGTACATAAAATAAAGCCAGGTGCCTACTCCCCACCTTGACTGGAAGCATCATAGAGCAGCAGAGCAAAGAACCAGTTAAGTTACAGTCAAAAACCCACTTACATTGTAAGTGCTCAAAGCCATTCAATGTGTTTCATCCCTGCCCTCCTCAATCCCCTCCCTCAATACATAAATCAAAAGGTCACAGAAGAAATAATGCTGCAACTATGCCTTCCCATTGCTCCTTTTGAAATCCTCACTCCTCCATGGATAAAGGAGCTGTTACACAGCTCTGTGTGTTGTGTGTATTTATAAACATACATGTGTATATATAGGCCTTCCACTCTAAAGAGAGGAAGGGAAACCCCGTATGAAAGGACCATAACCTATCCATGCTTTTTGAAAGCACAGTAAATGCAAAGCCCTTGTATCCACACTTGGCTAGGCATGGCTTTGTACCGCAAAAGTTAAATATACTTTCCAAAATTATATAGACAGAGTTAAGGAAGACCTTTACCCCGAAAGACACCAGCATCCAGCATAAATTGAAAGCAATTCCTGTGAAAGGAAAGCTGCTGAGAGGAGAGCAGACTTTACAGGAAGTATGCATGTATACAGTATCTATAGTATGTACATAGGTGTGTATACCATATGCATACTTGCGTATGGTATACATATTATATGTTCTAGTTTAAATTTCTAGTAACAGATTCTAGGAAAAAATAAATGCAGAATACCAAAGCTACTACAGAGAGGAGCAAACAATGAATTCAATTCCTCACAGAACAACTTATTCAGTAAAACATAATACCACAGCGCCTATTGGTTTCTTAATTAAGTCTTAACTATTCATTCCCCACTAGTAACTTCAAAATTTTACTGCTGCTTTTTTCAAGATGTTCAGGATTTTCTACCAGGATGGCAAAGAGTTACCAAAATGCTCACCAATTAAGTTTTTCCCATTGTATTCTTGTTTTCATTTATGGGTTGTTTAACACTAGAAGTGTATTCTTAAGCACTTCCTTGCTTGCATTATCATAGATTATCATAGCTAACGCAAGACAAGTTCCAAGGACAATGTTAAGTGTCTGAAAAAAGTAATGAATACTCTGCCTAGACAAGAGATGCAAACAACACTGTTCCTCTTCTCTCAGTTCTGCCATCTGCTAACAGCTTTGACAGCTGAATACTTCTAAATGTCTGCATCTCTTACATTATTTAGACAAGGCTAATTAATTTTTCTCTTAAAGAACAAACTTAAGAATCCTACTAACACCTATTTAAGGATTAAATCGACATTCTACTGATAGGTTAATGGCTGGCAGAGTCAGAGGCTATTCCACATTCTTATCTGGCACACAGGTAAATCAGTACACTACAGGTAACACACTTCGTGTGACACTTGCCTGGTGTAGCTTCTGCCAAAATTCAGGTCCGTCCTCCATTTTTCTTAAGGTTGGTGGAATGTACCAAAAGCACACATTTGCATACTCTGGCTAAACAAGAGAACAAGGGAGTCTTTATGAAATATAACAAATGGTACAGGAATACATATTATAGCTCCTCAAAAAGTTCTGCCCTATTGGGAGGGAGGGGAGGTGGGGAAGCCTTTGAGTTTACACCCTTTTCATTAAAAGTTCCTTCTCCGACTCACCTTTTGTTTCCCTTTTTTGAAACTAGGAATAGTTTTTATGATCATCCACTTCTCTTCCTGCTACCAGAAAAAGGAAACCTGTTGGGTTCCTTTTTCACCTCATCTTCCTATATACATACTTAACTCTGCTTTGCTCACTAAAGACTTTGGTTAGAAAAAATGTGTAAGAGAGGCATTGAGAAGGAACTTACAGATTTCAAATTGAAGCAACTTTAAAGAGAAGAACACATTTTCTTTTTAGTGGCTTTTTTTTTTAATGGAATTTTCCTATGATGCATTTTACACAAAACACGCAAACTCCATTTTTGTCACCATTTAACACTTGCACACCGAGTCATTTTTCCAATGAACAATGCCAATCTCATTTTATATCCTGTATCATACAGCACACTACACAGTGCTGGTCTCCATTTCCACATTTTGTAAGAAACTCAGGACCCCTTGCATGGTATGTGCCATATCCTGGATATATTTTACCCAATATCTAAGAAGGCCTTTTGAGCAAAGACTGAGACTCCACATCTCTGCTTCCTTCCAGAGAAATTTTGCCTTTACACTCAGCAGAGAGTCAGGTGCAAGACTCCCACCAAGAATGGCTGTTCACCATAAAATAAGGCATTTTGTGCTTATGAGGTTTCTGTTTTATATATGATTGTGAAAATGTTCCCAGAAGACCAGTCCAGGGTCTCTCTACACTTTCTCCTAATTTGGAACAATTTTTTTTTATTTTTAACCTGTACAGGTAGCAATAGCACGAGGAGTAGATGTCCCTTCTAATCCCATCCAACACTACCCATAAGACCACTCAGTCCATCTTGATCTACATTATTTGCAGCACAGTATTTAACTGGGGTCTAGATTATAATATGGATTATAAACTCACACACCCCTCTTCCCTCCCACACACCATCCTCATTAGTACGGGTTGAAAGAAAAAAAAAAATTAAAAGGGAGCTTGATAGCTGGGTCACACCATCTCTTTACCCCACTGTGAATGCAGCTATTACAATCCCAGGCAGCCTCCTGAACGAGGAGAGACCCCCAGCTGAGACACGTTCTTTCATGAAAGGGCACTGGGAACTGCTCATATCATTTTCCACCCCGCTTCAAAGAATGCATTAAATACAATTTAATCATCAAGAAGAATATCGTTGT